CTCTATCTTCAATCTCTCTATCTATGCAATTCTGCTTTATTTGCCAGGCCTATATACTAAAAAAGAGGGCGCCTGGAACAGACTAGAGTTGCCAGGACAATTCAAGATCTTTCGAGAATCTAATGACGTGATACCAGCGTCACGTGACTTCCGCTGTCGTAACACTATCCTGACCTTAAGCGATACGCCCCCCAGTGGCACAGCGGTGTCTGCAGACTTACATCGCTATAAACCAGGTTTCGATACCCGTGGTGGGCATAGCACGGATAGTCCATTGTGTAACTTTGTGCTTAATTTCACACAAACAAACAAATATCTTAAGCGATACATTTCTTTTATCATTTAGTTACTATCAGGTTTCTAGCTATGTTTGTTTTTAAATCCTTTATGTTTCAAATTGTACTTTTTTAGTGTCAAATGAGGTTTCAGAACCTGTAAATAAGTTCTTAAACCTTATTTCCCATATTCTGAACATTTCTGATATTCACAGTTTATTGGAGAACCATTTGTTCCATAAGGAAGAAAGTAGGTTTCTTAAAAATGTATTCCTGGATACCATTATAAATAAGTACTTATGTACTGCCAGAGGTACAAAAAAAAGTTACTTTGAGTATTTCTGAGCTCTACTTGTGATGTGTATAATTTTGCTGTGAACTTAGTTTATTGTGCGTCTAGTTTAATTTTATGTGGTCCATTTTAAACCCTAATGTTGCTAACTACAAAAGTACTTGAATGTGGCTTTTGAATTGTATAATTCTCTTTTCTTTACGTTTATTATTACTAATATCTAATACTGTACACTTTTATGCTTTGCTATCTGTTATATTTTTACCTGTTTGTATGCAAATCAGATAGCTTTAGAAAACTAAAGATTTCATTATGTGAGGGACTTTGTATTCAAGGAAAATTAACTGACAAGAAGTTCACTTGCTAATAAAATGTCTAATCTTTTTTCTTATGTTTATTTAACTTAATCATTTTCTAATTTCAAGTAGCATTTAAAACTAATCTCAATTTCAAATTATAATTTATAAAACTTTTATATAGTCTCTATTTTGATGTAGAAAATTCTAGTCATCTACTTATCACCATGATTTAGTATGTTTCCTTGTATCTATTGGTAAGAAGTTTTTTTTTCCACCAAGTCTTCACAACAATCGGTATTTGGTTTTAATGTACTCTTTTGGCTAATCGTGAGAGTATGTGAGGTATCATGCTGTTAACAGTTAACAAGCTCGCTAAATTTTGTATTTTTTTTTAAACTTAGTTATTCAGAAAGTTAATTGTTACTGTCAAGATGTTGATTATTAAAAAAAAAGTTTGAATTTAAGTTTAATATATTTTTGAAAACCTTTCCGTTTCGGTACATTTTTTAAGTAGCAATAAAGAAATAGACATAGTCACATATTGTGTAAACTTTTATTTTTAAAGTGATCATTTGTTTATGTTGAAACAAAAATTACCCTCTAAATCTCTGCAGTGGAATGTTTTTGTATTAATAATTTGCACTTCAACAAAGTGAACTGTAACCTTGTAAATTAAAGGAATAAGATATAGAATGATCAAAATTGATACAACTTCAAACTTTATCATCATACAGTCAAACATAAAGAAAAAAAAACAACAGGATTTCTGCAAAACCTAAATGTGTAACAGCAGTAAAATTTCTTTCAGAAATGAAGGTTTTCCTCTTGACCATGTTCCTTCTGCATATGTAAAGCAAATCTAAAGAATAAAAAAAAACATGATAATTATAGTCTTTTGGCACTTGTGTATAAAGTTAAAATCATAAATAATATTCAACGTTAAACTGGTACACAACTAAAAACATTTTATTTAGGCCTATCTGAGGATGACGTAAGGTCGAAACATGTAGAGTCGTCAACTTTTTGAAGGCCATAGATAGGCCTAAATAAAAGGTTTTTAGTTGTGTACCAGTTTAACGTTGAATATTATTTATGTTTTTAACATGATAGCTATCAGAAAACTTCTTAGTGTTACACAGACACCACATGGGATAGTTGCATATTAAATTATAATTCTTAAAATGAGTTTTCAGATCTAATACTGAAACTAAAAACAGGAGTGTCCTGAGAATAGTTCAAATGTCCATGTAGAAAAGTTATGCACAGAAAACAAATGGACAACAGTATTGTTCCGGCATCTACTGCTTAAGTGAAAATGATGACAAATACTGTGAGCTTTAAAGCAATTTGATTATGCTTGAGTTTAAGCACCTAATAAAATATTGATATCAATCACAACAAACCAAGCTGGATGAGATTCATTAACTATCTATTCTTGGAACTTAGCAATACTAAGTTCATGCTTCCCATACATTAGACTCCTGAAGTGATCATGCTGAGTTACAAGAAGATACATTTAAGTTTCTTCACAAATCTCATAGTTATCACACACATAAGTAGAGAGGGTTCACCCAAATCCCCTATTTTTGTGATGTAAAAAAATATGCTTAAATAGTTATAGCACAGATGCTTGTGGTATTTAACATTGTCTACATTTTTCTGATGAAGTATTAGCATTTTTTGGTTGAAATAGTCACATGCAATGGCTTCCGTTGACATTTTGTAATTGGAAGCCTGAAGCCGTATTGCTACTGTCAAGTTTTATAAGCCAGATTCGTTACAGTAGGTGTCTGTGACATGTTGGTGATAAATTTGAACAATAAACAAACAACAACCCAATCCACTTGTTTTAAAATAATACATTAAAACAAG